TTGCATGAAGTCGTATAAAACCAATGCCGAAGAGCGTGCTTCTATAAAGAAGATAATAAATGAATGGAAGAAATATGGAATTGTTACTGAAACAAGATCTCCGTATGCTAGTCCAGTTTTACTCGTAAAGAAAAAAACAGGTCAATTACGATTAGTGATAGATTATAGAAAGTTGAATTCGCAAACTGTTAAAGATAAATTTCCACTCCCTAGGATAGATGATCTCCTTGAATGTCTTAGTGAGTGTAAAGTTTTCACTACATTGGACTTAGCTCATGGATATTTGCAGATTCCTTTAACTGAAGAAGCGAAACTGAAAACAGCTTTCATCACTCCAGATGATACTGGTCAATTTGAACGTATGATCTTTGGGTTAGCTAATGCACCTGCAGAATTTCAGAGACTTATGAATCAAGTTTTAGGTCCATTGCTTAATAAAGAAGTATTGTGCTATTTGGACGACATATTAATTCCGGCTAAATCTTGGGAAGAAATGATGGAAAAACTTAGGAAAGTGTTTGATAGATTGAGAGAAGCAATGCTGACATTGAAACTGACAAAATGCGAATCTGGAAAAGATGAAGTTGAGTATTTGGGATTTAATAAAATCAAATAGTATGCAACCTGGACCAAGAAAAGTACGAGCCATATTAAACTTTCCTAACCAACCAATGAACATGAAGTTAAACAATTTTTAGGTCTTACAAGTTTCTTTAGAAGGTTTGTACCGAAATACGCAGAGAAAGCTGAGCCGCTTAACGAGACTGACGAGGAAGGATGAAACATTTCGTTGGAACGAAGATCAGCAAGAAGCATTCAGTACTTTAAAAGGATCATTTAACTAATGAACCAATACTAGCATTATATAATCCCGAAGCAGAGACTGAAGTGCACACAGACGCGAGCAACAAAGGACTGGCAGGAATGCTGTTGCAAAAAGGTGAAGATAGAAAGTGGCATTTAGTTTATTGTGTAAGTAAAGGGAACAACAGAAACAGAAAAGAATTATCATTCAAGCAAATTAGAATTAATGGCTATAGTTTGGGACTTTGACACGACTTCGACAATTTTTAATTGGAATCCGATTTACGGTAATTACAGACTGCCAAGCTTTAGTTTATTTAAACGAGAAGAAAACTTCAAATCCTCAGATAGCAAGGTGGAGTAATCTGATCCAGGAATACAATCTTGAAATAAAGCACAGGCAAGGCAAAAGAATGAGTCACATAGATGCATTGAGCCGATCGCCAGTTGATCAGCCAGAAGAAACTTTAGACTATATAATTGAAAACAACTTGGAAGTTTGTTTAACGCTAACGATAGATGAACAAATTCTTATGATTCAGCATTCAGATCCAGAATTACGCAAATTAATAGACATTTTAAAGAAAAAGATAAATGATAGAACGAATGCAGAGAAATATGTAACTGAAAATTACGTCTTGAAGAATAATCGATTGTTTCGTAAAGTGAAAGATCAGGAAAAGGAGAAATTGTTATATGTCATACCTAAATCGATGAGAAAAGGTATTGTAGTATAATTTCACGATCTTTTGGGACATTTTTCAGCAGACAGATCTGTTGCCAAAATCAAGGAATCATACTGGTTTAAAGGAATGAAACGATATGTTATGCGTCACATTTCGATCTGTTTCGAATGCCTAGTAAATAAAATGCCTAGTGTTAAGAAACAAGGAGTACTGCATCCAATGAGACCTGGTAGAAAACCTTTTGCAATTATACATATAGATCATTTAGGACCATTCGTAAAAAGTTCAAGAGGAAATACAGAATTATTTGTAATAATTGATAATTTTACGAGATTTACACGCTTATATCCTATGAAAAGTACTGCAACCAAGTATGTGTTAGTTGCATTGAAGAGTTTTGTAGATGATTTTGGGTTACCAGAAAAAATTATCAGCGATAGAGGAACATGTTTCACAGCGAAGGAATTTCGAGAGAGTACTGTCAAAATAATGGAATCAGTCATACACCTCAATTCAACTTCAGCATCCAAGTGGTAATGGAATGGTGGAAAGAGCAAATCGAACAATTTTGGCTACGATTAAAACGAGTATGGAAAATCCGAATCAGAGAGACTGGGACAAAAGATTAAGGAATGCGAAAGAAATCTAAACAATATGATAAATAAGACTACAAATAAAACTCCTTTCGAAATGCTTCACGGTTATTCACCAAAATTTAACGACGGATTGATGAGGATGATTACAGATGAAGACGCAGATGAATGGGAGAATCCAGTAATCTTACAGAATGAAGCTAGAAAGAGAACTGAAGATATGCAGATGAAAATGAGAGCAAATTATGACAAGAAGAAAAGCAATTCTTTAACATTCGAACGAGGAGAAATAGTAGTTATGAGAAGAGTACCTAAATCAACTGGAGAATCAACCAAAACACAACAAAAGTATCGAGGACCTTTGGTAGTTACCGAAGTTTTACCAAGTGATACCTATAGACTGACTCAATTAGAAGAGAAGGTGAAAGGACATTTCTTTAGTACGACAGCTCATGTGAGCCAATTAAAGTCACGGCAGTGTCAAGCTGAATCAGAAGAAGACGATGATGATGGTGATGACATTAGTGTTACTGAGGATAACGATAACAACACGCCGCATATTACTAAAACTAGGACACGGAAAAAGAATAGAAAACGACGGTGAATCTATATGACAGCTACAGACTTTCGAACTATAAACATTAATATTACAGATTTAATTTTTTTAAATATAAGTTCTTAATGTTCCGAGGTCGTAACTAAGTCAGGATGCCCGAATTTAAACGCAACGTATTAATTTTATTTAAAATGTATTTTCCCGATTGGCAACAACAGTTTTTTTTTTCAGAACGATAATATTTTTGAACTGTAAGTTTTTGAGCAGTAATGTTGACGGTAATGTTTCTGAATAAAGCAAGTATTTAACAATTAATGTTTTGACGGAATGTGTTTTTAATAAAGGAACTAATTAATTGCTAACATGTACTTGCAATTTAACAAAAACATGCATGAAATTTAACATTAAAATCTAAAGCACTAGTATTTAATAACAGTTACATGTATTAAATGAATTTAATCACACTTTTAAGAATGCAATTTTCTGATAAATTAAAATTTTTATACAAAAATAGAATTAATTTTGTAAAGCTACTTAAAACATATTTCTTGTTCACACATTTAAATAAATTTAAAGTAAGTATACTTAAAAATAGAACATGAAGATTTACTACTAGATAACAATTTGTCGAATATTTAAATTAATACTTAACTTCTTCAAAATTCCTAAAAAACACAGAATATATTGATCTTACTATAAAGAAAAAACAAAATTATTTATAATTTAGATCACACTATCAAGTTTTTAACACTGGCGCCAACTAGCAGATTTGGCGACAATATATTAGAATCAAAATAGAATGCTACTTTAAATTACCAGTCGTACAGTAAAATTAAATAAAAATAAGGCGCATCACATTTTTAACCTTTGTGATAACCCAGCACAAAGTTTACATGAAATGTAGGATTAAATTTTACAAATTTACAATACAAATACAAATACAATTACAAAGGATTAAATTTTACAGTATAAACTCTTTGCGATAATAAAAGAAACATCACAAACAGTATTGGCGATATTTTACTGCACAAACACATGCACATTCCGCAATTGATTTTGTATTTATAAAATCAGTTGATCGTCAATAAGTGACAGTGAAATTAAAATACTCATTTTGAAGAAATACGAAAAGTAATTTTTCTAACGTTCTATGGATTCTAAAATACGAAGCTGAACTTACCTCACCAACGACACTCTCCTGGGCCCGGAAGTCATTAATCTTGACGATAATTAATTATCCATTGTCTATATTGTATGTAAATAGAACGCATTGCTTCGATCACGGAAAATTCGCTGCCGACGCAGAGAAATTCAACTGATTTCATCCAAATACGCTTCAGCTAAAACTGACGAAAAACGTCCGCCATGTTTATTGCCGGAATTATAACCATCTGTTTATTTAACACGAAGGGTCAGACCTGTCCTTACTTTAACAGCCTTCTCGTCAAATTCAACGCTAGCTTTGATGAGAATACCAATACTTGCGATTTAACTGCTTGTGACGTCAGAGTACCACGTGATTCCGTAAATCTCACTTAACGCTGTGGTTAAAAATGTCATGAATCGGCCCTTTGTCTGTCTGTTTTCTGTTCTCTGTGATCGATTTATTTCAGATTCTGATTATTTAGGATAGCCTTGTTCTTTCCCTGTTAAATTTATCTGTGTTGTTATTTAGAAAAATGCGTTGCTTTGATTTTAAATCATAGCCATTGCTTAGTTCTTAGCAGTGTTATAATTAAGAGAATGAATTTCATTTCTTTCTCTGTTTCCGTACCGAATATATGGCGCGCAAGCTGCATGTTATTTTTTGTTCGGATTCTTTATCACCATAGAACCAAGGGGGAAGCTCACTGAAAAACAAAACGCACGGGAGACCAGCGGGGGAAGGTGAGAGGTTAAATAACTGAAGCTGTTTTTTTTTTCTTTCTTTCCCACATTTTTCCCTCTTCCCCCTACATTCTCCTCTTTATACCGGCGTCAGACTGTGCAGCCAAGGATTCTATAACCTATGAAGAAGGCTATTCTAACCTCCTTGTGTGCAGCCTTGAAAAGGAAAAAACACATGTAAATAGGATTGACAGATGCGAACTTAGTAACGGTTTTTTTAATATTAATTATTTTTACTTGATACATTATTTTAACATATAAGCATTTTACGATATATTAAAGCAGTATTTGAAGTCGCAAAATTATCATAAAGAAATGATGGTGGTCACAAAAATTTCGCAAAATCGAAAACACTAAAATTTTCGTATTACAAGTTTGTAAAAATTGCGAATTTGCGAAAAATCGCACGATCTGGCAACACTGTACCTAAGCTTGATTTTTAACATTGCGGGCAGAAAGATTTAGCGATAGCAAAACAAGACATCTGTCTGTTTCGTCTGTCTGTCGAAATTCTCTGCATGAAATCTCCCACGTTGCTGTTTGAGCGTTATTTTAAATTGTTTTCATTGAATTACTCGTTTTCTCGTTGTTTAGTGGACTCTGCAGAAATGAATACAATATGTTTGAAAGAATCAGGTGATCGAAAATTTTATTCATTACCTCAGGAATATTCTCGTGAGGAAAACCAAAATATTAGAATTTGCCCCCACAGTGATTCTCTTCTAAAGGAGATATATTCAAATATTTCTAGCCGAGGAGCTCTTTTCGATGGCCCTTATGGTAGAAGATCTGGTATGTATAGGAGCTATTTATGACAGTTATATATTATGAATTCTTTTTGTAATGCACGTGCAATCAACCACATCTAAAAAAAAAAAAAAAAAAAAAAACTGTTTGTCTGTTATCTTCTCCACAACCTATGATAATAAACGTTCTTCTTTCATGTAACTCTGAAATATATGCATTCGTTGAAAATCAGTTTATTTGCATTCTTTAGAGGGCTGTCTGTCTAAGGAAAGATTTGTCTTTTTGAAGGAATTTATAAGGGGAACTAGCTCGTATTTACATTACGTGTAAGCATAAATTTTATCAGTAAATTAAAAATATCAAGATATAAGTTCAGACCAGTATATAATCAATCATTGAAAGAAAGTTTGTTTGGTTTATGAGCATCATAAACTATTATTAGTCTGCTTGTTGCTCATTCATTCATGATGTCCGCCCTATGAAATAAAATAGGATCTTCTCATTTCACTTGTCTTCCTGAACTGTTTTATTTCATAATTGTTAAAACCTTTATATATTGAACAAACAAAGTATCAATCTTAAATTTGCTATTTAATTTCCTAAATCTTTAAGTGCAGCATCTCTCTTGTCTTCCATTAACCTTTTCGCGACGGCGCACCTTTGTTTAAAACGCTCGTGCGGGACGGAAGAGAATCGAAGGCAGTCACCGTACAGGACGGAGGTTTTGCATCGTTAAGCCTAATTTTATAACAAAAATCAGAAAAACAAAAGTTTCGCTTCTAGCATCGTAATTTTTGGTATCATTTTAGATTATTACTTGAGCTCTTATGTATGTTAAAATTAGCCCTTAAAACATTTATTTCTTTATTTTACATGGAAAATATACTTAAAAAGTTGCTTATCTTCCATAATACTTTTCGGAAGAGCTATTCAAATTATTCTAAAGTTTTAATTGATAAAATCCATCAATAAAGTTTAAAATTATTAAAAAGAACACAATAAAGACTATTTACAGTAAGAAGTAACAAAATTTAAAACGAAAACGAGTGTGGTAAATTTCGAAGCACAGAGAAGTATCACCTTGTAACTCTTAGAAAAAGTATCACTTTTTAACTCCTTAGAAAATGAATCAGTACTCTCATTTGCGTTAGTAAATGGTTCACTAACCATACTAGGGTATTCTTCCTCTGATAAATAGCGCCTCCTTCCCGTCATAATAGACTGGAGGTGAGGCTTTCCTAAATAAAAAAAGAAGGAACGGAAATATATCTGAAGGCAATGCAAAACGTAAAAAAACTCCGCACAGTAACCCTAAAAGACCGTACAAAGTAGAGGAAAAAATAGAATAAAAAAGGAATTGGATATAAATCAGATACGAGAATGTTTTCATTAGCACGCAGCGATTTAAAGAGCCGAGCTGCGTTTGTTTACATTACGATTTCCCCCCTCCCCAGCCACAGCTGACAAGCAAAATACCAAAAACAGCCAGAATATAAACAATCTGAAGGTCAGAATACTAAAACTATGTTCAGTTTAAATGTAATGGACACAGAGTGCCATCTAGTGGCTATTAAAAATTGTTTCAGCTTAAAATGCATATCCCCACTGCCCGTTCACTTGGCCAGTTCTCCAGGAGTGCATGGTGAACCGCCCGGGCCTCACATGCGTCCGTACGAAATGCATATATGATTCGCCCGTCGCGAAGAGGTTAAATGCTTCCATGATAAACTTGTGTGGTATCTACCATTCTTATACTTGATATCAAATTTGAAAGACTTCATTTCTGAATCTACAGTTTCGTCGTTTTGATTACATTACAGTCCCACAAACCCGACAACTTTTTTGGAACTTTTTTAAGATACGAGGGCTATCCAGAAAGTAGATTACGTTTTGGAATAAAAAAATAAACAAAGTATAGGAAACAAATTTTATTATATACAGATGAAAGCCACACTCAAATACTACTTTTCTACATAGTCACCATACAAATTAAGGCATTTATCGTAGCGATGTACGAGCTTGGAAATTCCTTCGTCGAAAAATTCGGCCGCCTGCGCCTTCAACCACTTCGTTACCTCTTCTTGCCTTCCATCTTGCACAAAACTTGTGGTAACCAAGCTTTTCGCTGATGATTTCGTGCAACAAACTTCGCGAAATTTGTGGAAAACTCAAAGAAAGTTCCGTTATTGTGAAATTTCGATTTCACGGACTTTAGCATCGACTTTTTCGAGAAGTTCGGCGGTCACTATGCTGGGTCTCCCACTTCGATCTTCGTCGTGAACATTGGTTCGGCCATTTTGAAATCTTATGACCCACTGACGCACTCCACCTTCAGTGATAATGTTGTCCCCATACACTTCACGAAGCTGCCGATAGATTTCTATCGGTTTACAGTTTTTTGCAGTCAGAAACCTTATTACTGAGCGCAGCTCGCGGGATTTTCCATTAACGCAGACATTTCAAACCGTCACAGTATCTGAATGGAGCACAGCACGAACCTCTCACTAGCACGGCTAGATGCAGACTGAGCTGCGCAACGCTCTGACCCCAAGATGGCCGCGCTAGCCCCGCCCCTAGCGGACACAGACGGAAACGTAATCTACTTCCTGGATGGCCCTCGTATATGTAGGGCAAACAGAGCGAATATTACATACAGTGCTTATAATTATTATTTATGCATCGGCGTGTTATGTATGTGCGGCACATTATGTTAAGTTTCCGGGACTTTACTGTATTACTTTTGAAACCTAAATTTTCTAACTTCCAAAATTTGTAATTGATCGGATATCAAGTTTTCATTTACAATTAGTTTCATGTTTATTAATTCTCTAAAATCATTATTTACTTTACCGTGTAAACACCACCCAAATAATGATTCTCTGGCCACTATATATATATTTTTTAATTCTTTTAATTTTACCTGTAATTATGGAATAGTAGAAATTTGCTCCAATGAGAATGTTGATTTTGCAGTTTTGTTTACTATAGTCAGCTAACTGTAAATTTTTCAAAACTTTGTTTTCTTTAGCAAAATTTAAATCTGTAAGGCAATAATAGTATTGGAGGTACTTTTGTTTTCTTTAGCAAAATTTAAATCTGTAAGGCGATTATAGTATTGGAGGTACTTCCTGTTTCTAACACGAGTTCAACATCTATACTAACAAGGGTCTCTGATATTTTCGAGTTTTGCTTTAATGACATTAAATGCGTCTTCTATTGCAGTTTTATCTACAGACAAGTAAACATAAAGTGATTATTTTCTAATAATCGCAAGAGTAATTTTACTAGATACATCTTTAGTTATGAAAGTTCTCATTGAATCATTACCTAAAAGAATTCTCACATTTTCCATTATTCTGAATCGAATCAGAAACAGTTTATAATAAAATTTTATTGGATCTAGTTTGATCGGGATTATATGACAAAACTGCAGAAATAACATTCAAATCCAACATTTTCTGTTCAGTTTTATCATTATCTTTTTCCTGATGAAATGAATAACAAATCACTTTTAAATATTTAATAAAAGTTTTTTGCTAATCTTTGGAATATGGTAACAGGTAGTTTGGCGACATTTTGGTAAGGCGATAAAGGTTACTAGCTAGGACTTTAGCAGTATACATGGATAAAGTCAAGAGTGTGCGCAATTCCATTTTTGTACAATTCTGGGATTTTTTTTAAGTGAAGATAGGTCGACGTGTACGTGGATACCGTGTATGTGCAGTTCTTAAAAACGCAGCAAGCAGTTTGCGATTCTGCACTTTCTCCCAATTTCGCACTTTATCTTCGTCATGATTAAGCACTTTTGTTCCATAAAAGTTCTAGCATAAGCGTAATTCAACTAGCAAATTGTTGGGAAAAAAAAAAGCCTTTACTTCGTGAAAACAAAATGGTGTCCAAACAAAAACTAGCAGGTTGCTGTAGCAGGTTTGGTCGCCAAAAAATCGCCAAGTTACCATAATCCAAAGATTAACCAAGTTTTTTTTTTCTTTTCCAAATTTCAGAATTCGTTGAGTTGTGACACCTGTCCTCGCAAAAGACACGTTGAGAATCGACCGATGCTGCTAAAAATTCAGAATTGGGTGCCCTTTGATTGTTGGCGATTCTTTTTTGACGCCAAGTTCGGCGCTTAGAAGGCACAATATCAAGATGGCCCATACACAAAACCAAAATAAGAAGTCAAGGAATTGCACAAACTCTGTGTCCATGTACACATCGATCTGTTTTCACTTAAAAAAAATCCTAGAATTGCACAAACTAGGCATTGCGCACTGCCTTAAATTTGTCCATGTATACATCAATCTATTTCCATTTAAATAAAATCAGGAAGCTAAAACAAAGTTAAAACTATCATGGTAAACAGAAGGGAGGTTTCATCGCCAAATTTTTAAAAAAATTATTGCTAATCGAAGGGGCACCCAATTCTACATTAGAGCCATAATTCATCTGTCGATGGCTTATTTTTTTTTTAACAGGGGAATGTTTCGGTTTGAAAAATAGTGCCTTTTCTAATCATGAGAACTTCTCTTTTGAATTATAATTGACAGAAGCTGCACATTCTGTGCTGAGTATATAATTTCTCAAAAAGTCTAATAGACCTTTTAAAAACTAGGGTAAAAGTTTACAATTGGGTGAGTTTTCATCTTTAATATTTTGGCTGTGATCCGTAGGAAGCAGAGTCTATTTTCAATGCTTCAAAATTGATCTGTACTTTGTATGGCCAAGAAGTTTTCTTAGTCTGTTTACATCTTTAGGATTTCTAACAGGTGAAATATTTAAAAGTTGCCCTAAATGTGAATTAATTAAGATGTTCGTTTGTCCAAATCTGAAATGCAACATTTCTAGAACAGCTTCATAATCATTTTCAGTAAGAGTGAAACTGGAAATAGCTTTATTGGCTGAGCTATCGAGAAAGCTTTTTAAACAAATTCATTTTTCTGTTTTTGATAAATTTGGATTTTTATCTGTCATGCTTTCGAATTGACCCATAAGTTCTAACCAATTTGAAGAATAACCATAACATTTCTCAGAGCTTAAATTGTGCC